CCACTGCTTTTTAACAGAGGTAAGCTGTAGTTCTGAAAGTGTTAATTAGATGTCACAAATTCTACTTGCCCCTGAGTTGTATTACTCATCTCGGTTGTATGGCAAGTTTGTTCTGAGTCTTCTATCTTCCAAATCCTTAGAATCAACAGGTGTATTGCTGTTTGTGCTAATCTGATTGTCTACCTCTTTTATTAGGTGAAGTAGTGAATTTTTAATTGCAGTTTCTTCTCTCACTTGGTTTTCAGTCAGTTTTATATAATCCCTGCACCGATGGGGTTTGAGATCCATTGCTGTGTAAAGCTTTCCTTGAATACTTTTAAACAAAAGATCCAAGGCCCTTGGCAGAATACTAACATCATCTTCTGTCCCTTGGAAAGTGTAAGTTTTCCCAGCGTTTGTAACGCCATATGTAAAAACAAGACGATTATATCCATCTAAGAAATCTTGCACTGGGTCCTTCATGGTACCTTCAAAGAATTCTTCTTGAGTTGTTTCAGGTCCAAAACACTCGTGAAAAAGTGAATTTTTGTATCATCTGTCCAGCAGTTTTTTCACTTAGTCGATTCAAATAGTGGTGAGGGGGCTTCAATGTGATGTTTGTTGAGTCTTCAAGTGAAACACGGTCCTGTGTTCCATTTTCTCTTTCCACTGATGTAAATGGCCTAATATGCTGGCAAACTTTTATCTGTCCCTTGGAGCCCAAAGTGCTCCCCTGGCTTGTGTCCGAGCTTGAAGAAACCAAAGAAAATTCAGAGGAGAGATCTGTTTTAAGATCTTCCACACTCACTGGTCCTGACCTTGGAGATAGTTCAATGCTAGAAATATAGGATGGTCTGTAAAGTTTGTCATTATCCAAAGTTGGATCCATTCCGCCTCGCCTCTCCCTCACTCTCTGTGCCCATCGCAGCTTCTTTTCTTGGTGGACTCACAGAGTTCAAAGAGAGAGTAGCAGTTCACATTTGTCTTTGCAACACAACAGATTGCACTTGTGAGAGCTCTGAACAAGCATAATTTCTGACAAAAAGACAAGTAGATTCACATAGGAAAGTGTAACTGGCACTGTCCAGAGCAAGCCAGGTCTGAAACTGCATCACAAAACAGGCTTCTAACTGTGACATTAGAGCTGCACCCATCAGCTCCTCTTTAGGCAATCATGGGTAATTTCTCCTCCCATAAGAAATCCTACAGGACAGTCTCAGCTACAGGATAAGCAAATTTCACAGAATTTCATTTAGAAGAAGCTCGTTTTTCAATGTTATTTTGTTTTCCACGTTCTAGTGAGTAAAATGGTTAAAGGCTTAACAGCTGCCTCATTGCAGTAGCTACAAAAGCTGCTTTCTCCTGTTCAATTACCCCTCCAGCTGCCTTGAGAGGTTGGGCTGCAGTGCTTGAGGTGTTTGAGTCAAGTGCTATGCAGCCTGGGTTGCTGCTGCTGCTGTTGGAACTGCAGCTGTTGTGGGGGGGGTGCTGAGTGTGGAGCCGTATGAGTCGTAGGTTCTGCACAGGCACCACTCTAGAGCATGCACAGTCCACGCCACTTTTCTTCCTGGTGCGTCCCCGCCGTTACCGGGGTGCAGGTGATGTGATCTCGCCCCCCTTCCCGCGCCGCCGCCGCTGTAGCCTGAACCAGCGGTTGGGGGGGAGGGTGTGGCCCCTGTGTCACCGCCGCGAGCACAGTTGATGTGGGCTGCCTGACAACCAGAGTCGCACCCGCTGCTCTCTGTGCCTCAGCGTTCCGCGCCCTCGGTCCCAGGGGCAGTCCTGGTGCCCTGAAAATGAGTTGATTCACGGAGGTATAAGTAGATAGTTCACTACATCCTGTCAGATGCATGGGCAGACGCTGTAACTTGAAGTTTAGTCTTAATATCTCGCAGCGATTCCATAACTTCTCGCCACAAGTTGGGAAACTTTTTCACTCCCATAGATCCCTTTCTGGTCTCTTCCCACAGTTCTGGCCCACTGTTGTCACATATAGACACGTTAAAGGCATCAGCTACTGTGAGGATCAGGTCTTTTCCCTTTGCCCAGGCCAGTAGCTGCCTTAAAGCAGCTTCATCATACTTAATTCCTCTCATAGAGAATATATGTTGAAGGAGTTTCACCACTACCGCTTCCGTTTTGGTCAGGGTAACCCACATTCCTCCCTGGCTGCCTGGGAAGCCCCTATCCAGGTTTTCCTTTGCTAGCAACAGAATCGGGCTTACCGCGTCCTGCGCGTTGAACAACCAGTGCCAGGGACAGCACTTTTACAGTCAGCTTCCTCTCTTCCCCCTTCATCCCGCCATCTACTGCTCTATGTCAGCACAGCGGAAGGGCCCGGGTCCCTGTTCCGGAGCGCCAATTGTGACCGAGAGGCCACAGAGCAACTGCACGCAGACCAATGTGATCAATAGGCAGATCTCGTTTATCATGTGTTACAGCGTTTGTTTTATACTCTCACACACATACATGTCACTACATTATTGGTTAACTATATGTAGCTGCATAATTGGTTTGCAATACTTAAACACACTTCTTGCTACTTAGTACATGTTGCTATATGATTGGTTTGTATGCGCTGTCCATGCGCTGTCCGTGCGCATGAAATCATTGTCTTTCTCTGAGAGCTCCTTCTTACTATCTCAATAGTTTACATTCTTGCAGCCTGATATCAATGCCAGTACTTTTCCTGCAACCTGCAAGCAGACCTCTTGCTAAGGCAGGCTAAGACCTAATAGTATGGTTTGTTCATAGTGCCTGTTTTAGCCAAGCAGCCCACAACCCTGTTCACCAACACTCTCTGGGCCCGACCCTCCAACCAGTTCTTCACCCAGCACAGAGTGCCCCTGTCCAAACGGTGGGTTGCCAGCTTTTTCAGGAGTATATTATGGGAGACAGTGTCAAAGGCTTTACTGAAGTCCAGATAGACTACATCTACAGCCTTCCCCTCATCCACCAGGTAGGTCACCTGATCATAAAAGGAGATCAGATTTGCCAGACAGGACCTGCCCCTCCTAAGCCCGTGCTGGCTGGCTCTGATCCCTTGTCCATCCTGTAGGTGCTGTGTGATTGCACTCAGGATGATCTGCTCCATAACCTTGCCAGGCACTGAGGTCAGGCTGACAGGTCTGGAGTTTCCCGGGTCCTCCTTGCAGCCCTTTTTGTAGATTGGCGTGACATTCGCCAACTTCCAATCCTCTGGGACCTCCCCAGAGAGCCAGGACTTTTTGTAAATGATGGAGAGCGGCTTGGCAAGCTCTTCTGCCAGCTCCCTCATCACCCTAGGATGGATCCCATCTGGTCCCATGGACTTGTGTGGATCCAGGTGGCTCAGTAAGTCACTGACTATTTCCTCCTGGAATACAGGGGGGCTTTTTGGCTTCCTGTCCCTGTCTACCAGCTCCAGAGGACAGTTGTCCCAAGGACCACCTGTCCTACTGGTGAATCCTGAGGCAAAGTAGGTGTTAAGTACCTCAGCCTTCTCCTCATCCCTGTTAACTATGTTTCCCCCCAAGTCCCACAAGGAATGGAGGTTTTCCTTACCCCTCCTTTTGTTATTAATGTATTTATAGAAGTACTTTTTGTTATCCTTAACAGCAGTAGCCAAATTGACTTCAAATTGGGCTTTTGTCTCTCTAATTTTCTTTCTGCATGACCTAGTTATACTCCTAAACTCATCCTGAGTAGCCAGCCCTATTTTCCATAGTTGTAAGCTCTCTTTTTATCCCTGATTTCCTTCAGAATCTCCCTGTTCAACCAAGCTGGTTGTCTACCCTGCCAGCTTGCCTTTTGGCACACTGGTACAGCCTGTTCCTGTGCACTCAAGACTTCCTTCTTGAAGCACGTCCATCCCTCCTGTACCCCCTTGTTTTCAAGGGTTTTTTCCCAGGGTATCCTCTGGACCAGTCTTCTGAATAGGCCAAAATCTGCCCTCCGGAAGTCCAGCGTGGAGGTTTTATTGGTGGCCTTCCTTGTATCCTTGAGTATTGCAAACTCTATTATTTCATGGTCACTGTGCCCCAGGAGACCTCCTACCACCACATCTCCCACCAACCCCTCTCTGTTTGTAAACAACAGGTCTAGTGGGGCCCCACCCCTGGTAGGTTCATTTACCAGCTGGAGCAGGAAATTATCCTCTATACACTCCAGGAATCTCTTAGACTGCCTCTTCTCTGCCGTGTTGAGTTCCCAGCAGATATCCGGAAGGTTGATGTTGCCTACAAGAGGCGATTTTGAGACATCTACCAGCTGCTTGTAGAATAATTCATCCCCTTCATCATCCTGGTAGGGTGGTCTATAACAGACTCCCATTAGGATGTCAGCCTTGTTGGCCTTCCCCCTGATTCTGATCCACAGGCACTCAACCTTATCATTGGTGACCTCAAGTTCTACAGAGTCAAGACACTCTCTAACATATAGAACCACCCCTCCACCTCTCCTACCCTTCCTATCCTTTCTGAAGAGCTTGTAGCCATCCGTGGCAGCATTCCAATCATGCGAGTCATCCCACCACATTTCTGTGATAGCAACTACATCATAGCTTGTTAAACCATAGAAGAGCAAAAAAGAATCACACATACACCACTGTCTCTGCCTTTTCTTCACTGTTCCCAGGCAAATAAAAGTATTTTGAAAAGAAAAAAAAAAAAAAGAACAAACTTATGCATGCGATTGAAATTGAAGTGCATGCTATGCCTATTTTCTTGTTGGCAAGCAGCAAGAGCTAATGCAACAGTGCTTTTTGTTAGTGAACTGAAGAAAAGAGCTAAAATTTCTCCCTTCCAACCAACATATCCTGACAGTAAAGAAGTAAAATTTTACCCTTTTGGGAGACCGAGGCTTAATGCATGAGTTAGTGAGGGAGCCTGAGGCATCAGAACAGAACAAAATCTCTTCTGAAGCACACAAGAAGGGCCATAGGTGCCTGTTGAAATTTTCTGCCCACGCTACAGTAACAATGGCATCAAAGAAAGCCTGGTTGCTGTTCAACAATATTGTCTCAGAAACAGCAATGATTTGGGGAATATAACTGCAAAGGTTTGGTGCAACTCAAATGAGAACATGAAGGTTACTAGGGATATGAGGAGACTGATGGAATGATTATATAATCAACAGACACCCCCCCCCCAACCTTCTTTTACTCAAAACCCTGACAGTTGTTTATTGAGAAGTAGGTGTTGATGGTTCACTTGTCTTGGATGGATTTGTCTGGGAATAAACACCAGTGCTTTCAAAGTGCTTGATCCCATTTTCTTGTAAAAGAAAAAGTTTTAAAAAAATGTTTTAAACCCCCATGTATTGGGTCTGGCTGAGATGGAGTTCATTTTTCATAGCAGCCTTCACACTGCTATGCTTTGCATTGGTAGCTAGAAAGAGGTTGAAAACACACCAGTGTTCTGGCTACTGCTGAGCAGTGCTGGCACAGCATCAGCAGTGTCTCTCAACATCTCCCCCCATCAAGGGGCTGGCAGTAGGTGGGCAAGATCCTGGGAGGGGACACAAGTAGACCAACTGACCCAAATTAACCAAAGGGATATTCCATACTATATGCTGTCAGCTCAGATATAAAAATTAAGGAAAGGAGGAGGAAAGGGAGACATTTGTTATTTACAGTGTTTGCCTTCTGGAGTAACCTCTACATGTGCTGAAGCCCTACTTCACAGGAAGTGGATGAACATCACTGACTTATGGGAAGTAGAGAATAAACTGGGTTTTTTCCTCTTTGTTTGTGTGTGGGCAAATTTTTGTTTTAGTAAACTACCTTATCTCAAGCTAGGAGTCATTTTCCATCTTATTATCTCTCCTCTGTCCAGCTGGGAAGGGGAGTGATAAAGCAACTTGGTGGGCACCTGGTGTCCATTCAAGGTCAACCTACCAGTCCTTTTGGCATCTGAACATGGGCGAGGCAAAGGCAGGTATATATATATATATTGCATGCTATAGTAATAGTAATTATCAAGTAGCAAACTCCTGTGCGGGACATTGTCAACTGCACTGCTTATCACTTTATTTTGCTGAGTTTGGGAACATACTAATATAAACAATAGCTCCATGCTTTGCCCTTACACTGACAGCCTTGTCATGATGGGGGAGCATCTTCTGGGGACAATGGAGGAATACACCTTCCTCTCCTTGCCTGAGATACATGTGAATGGTTTTATAATGAAGTCACCCATGGTCTTTGCTAATCCTTATGTAAGCTATTTAATACTGTTAATAATACTAACTATTGTTTGCACACTAGGGAGTTTGTGGAATCTCATGTCATCCTGGTCTAAGAGAAAACAAACTTTAGGTGAAGATATACTGAAATGTGCCCTGAGGTGTCCAGTTCCTGGGTGGTAGGGTGTGTGGAAGGATTTTGGCAGGTTTCTAGGGCAGTTGACACTTCCCATTACCTGGGACTTCACACCTGAACAGGTATTTGACCCTAGCAAACTGACATGTCACCTGATAGAAGGGTGCCTCACCTACCCCAATCAAACCCAACAGCCTCTTGCCCTGTACTGGGACCTGGCCTGTGCCTATTGAACCACAATTCAGTATTCTCACAAGGATGTAGTGGAGGTAGGGACCCAAACTGCAATGGGGGACACTATGGCTGACAAAGGGACTCAGACCATAACAACTGCAGTAATTGCCCCAGTAGTGAAAAGGAAAAAACAGATAAGGCAGGCTACAGGTTCACATACTGATCAGTATGGGAAGAAGATGACGAAGAAGGAGAAGGAGAAGAAGAGGAAGAAGATAGAGGAGAAGATGGAGAAGAAGGAGAAGGAGCAAACAGATCAAAAACCTCGTCCTTCAACAAAGAAATTGAAAGGAGTGAGACAAATCAAACAGGAAACCAAAGTCATCCAGTGCTTGACCTCTTCAGAACTTTGGGACTTGCAAAAAGATTACATCTGCCAGTCAGGTGAGTGGATTCCTATCTGGCTGCTTTGATGACGGGATAATGGGGTCGATAGTCAGCAACTGGAAGGTCATGAAGTCCAACAGCTGTGATCCCTTGCTAGAGATCACAAAGTTGAAAGGGGAATTGGAAAAGAAGGAGCAATTTTCAGTCTGTCAAGCATGAGGGCAATATATCCATTTAAGGAAGACTTTGTGAACTTCCCAGGAAAGTGGACCACTACAGATGAAAGTATCCAGTACCTGAGAGAATTAGCCTTGTTGGAAATTGTTTAAAGTAATCTAAAAAGTGATGACATTCCTAAAGATCCAGAGGATGTCTTGCACAGTGGTCATGTGGCGGAAGGTGGTTCAAAGTGCCTCTGCATCATATTCCAGCAAACTGGTAGCATTATATTACCAACAAATGGACACAATAAA